AAAAAAAAAAAAGGAAGTGTGCTACAACCGCCCTTTTCAAACTCGGGGCCTGATGTTACCGCCTTCTGATGTTATGACTGCCTTTTCGAACTACGGCCATTTTTTCGTTGCCCATTATTGTTTTTTTTGCCCTTTTGAACTTCGTTTGTGACACAAACGTACTTGCCCCAAAAAAAAAAGAAGGGTTGACATCTGGACTCCCTCAGACTGGCAGTCACTGCCTAGATGGATTTTTTATTTTTTTATTTTTTTTTGCCCTAACATTCAAAGACGGAGGACTAATGAATGTGCCCCAGAATTCAGTGTGTATCTCTGACCAAGGAGGCATCCATGACCACATTCCCTGTGACAGTGGACTTTCTAGATGATCACGATTTTTTTTTTATTATTATTTTTTTTTTAATAAATCAGGGTGTAGATGATCATGTATTTCATGTGTGCTTTCTTTTTCGTTTGTTTKTTTTTTAAACACATTGGCAGCGGGGATGGTGGGGGTGCTGATAGAAGCAGGCACCCCTCCCATTAGGCATCAGGATGGCTCCGTTCCATTGGTGGGGAGCTGCTTATGCTGGAAATCGGGTCCAGTGTCCCTTGACATTTGATACAGGGAGCCACAGTTATACGGAAAGGGTAATCTCTGTTCGCTGTGCCAACCCTCTGGGGAGGGGTGGGGCTACCCACTCTAACCCCAGTTAAAATGCCTTGGGAATAACACTGCCAAGCACCATGGTAAGGTCCCAACTTAAGATGTCTGATGTACTATTCAACTTGCAGTCCATGGCTGAGTGGACGAGCACCGATACTCCGCACTTAGCCCCTGGGAAAAAAGCACACGCACTGTTGGCTGTAGGAACAATGGGCTGCCATCGGCCTGTCCACCATCTTTCTCTGTTCGTCCATGCCGGGGTGAGTAATTTGTGTACGCTTTGGTGTCTTTGCTGTCCCTTCTTCTCATGGAGCCCTGGAGAGGGTTCCGGCATTGCCCTCCCTCCCAACTCGAGCCTCTATAGACCACTTGGTACTTGTCCTGCTCATCCACCTCGGCAGTAGACCATCAACTGTGGCAGGGTCAGGGGGAGTTGGGGTAGAGGAGGGAGGGGACGGGAGGGGGGATGGGAGGGAGGGGTGTCGGGGCGGAGGAAGGGGTGGTGTGTGGGGAGGTGGAGGTGGAGGTGGAGGGACGGGAGGCAGAGGTGGGTCAGGGAGCACATTGTGAGGTTGGAAGGATGGAGGGGGTGGAGGGGGTGGAGGGGGKGGAGGGGGTGGAGGGGGTGGCTGCTGAGGCGGGCCTGTCTGAGAGAGACCGGGTTCTGGTCTGTGACGGGGATGAAGGTAGTTTGAAGGTAGGGGACAAAAAAAAAAAGGGGACTGCAAAGTGTTGGCGGGGCTGCCTCTGCCAAGCACATTCCATCGGTTCTCCACGGCTTCCACACTGTAATCAGATTAGCATCCAGAGCGCTGAAGATTCAGCCGGGTTCCTACCATATCTCTCGGTAGGAGTCCTGGATGACTGATCTGACCAGAGGATCCTTTTCCTCCTGGCAGTCCCGTTTCATGGCCTTCCAAGCTGTGTGTGTGGGGGAGGGGGGGTTATCTCTTCCTCTGTTGCTACCTGGGCTTGCTTCAGACCAAACTGGCGCTCTTTCCTTTCAAAGGAGCATCCCGCGTGCCAGGCCAGCATGAGGAGCTGAAGCCCCGTATACCAGAACAGATTAGCTGTGTATGGCGGCCATTGCGCCAGTAGGTGCTGTTTGTTTTTTCCTAGCAGCAGAAGCCCCAGTTCCAAGGGATCCAGAGTGCTGTTAGCGAGTGAAAGGCTGCATCCCACCACTGCCAAATCTAAATAACCATCGGGCATGCTAGAAGACAGTGTTCGATTGTTGCTCAGGCTGCCGGCGATGCTTTGAAACAGTATTCGCAGATGGGTGACAACAGCCCCTTCTGTTCCAGGTCTGCTCTGGACACTAGCCAGTCAGGGGTGAGGAGGCAGCAGTGTAGCATCTGCCACTGGAGGGTTTGTGGGCGTCATCTTAGCCCGACTAAGGTTCTCCAGTAGGTTGAGCTTTAGTGAGAATCCCTAGCCAGAGATTACCTGGTTAATCTGCAAATCCAGCACGAGGCTCCATATTCCCCTCTAACAGTGTAATCCCATATGTGCTTGGGCTTTGTACCTTGCCATTCCCATTCTGCTGGGTCAAACGGGATTCTGGTGATTGCAGTTGTAGACTCGTCCACGTGCCATCCATTGTCGGGGTCCCCCACTACCCTTACCTGCATCAGACCAGCCCATGCATTCCGTGCTGTCCAGGTCCTCGTCTCTTGCCAGCTTGGAAAACCTCGCACCCAGCAAGTGGGGCTCATAGGCTTCCAACATACATACAAGTGCCGTTTCGCCAAAATGGACATTTTTATTTTTTGAACGAAATTGAAACCGAGTAATTTGGCCGAAAAAAGGTCCAAATGTTTGGCTCCTGACGGTCCGGCGCTCTTGAAGCGCTTCTTTGATAGTTCTTTCTGTGTACTTGTAGTTTGCGGGCTTCTTTGATAGTGCAGTAGAACGTACAGTAGACATACTGCAACATCTGCCTTTACCTGGGATCACTGTGACTTCCCTTTGGGTTCGGCCGGTGATGCTGTCCCGTTGGGGGAGCACAACTACATTGTCAAGGGAAGCCTGGCTCGATTTCAGGCTTGTATAATAAAATTCCTGTTTGTTTGTAAAAAATAAAAACTAAAAAGAAAGAAATGTGTAGTGTTACGATCCTGGTCATTTCCAAAGTGCAGTTTCACAAGGAAAGACAATGCCACCCAATTACGAAAGAAATGAAAGCACTTGCAAAGAGATAAAGACCAAAGAAGAGGGAAAGAAGAAGAAGAAGAAGAAGAAGAAGAAGAAGAAGAAGAAGAAGAAGAGGAAGAAGAAGAAGAAGAAGAAGAAGAAGATGTACACCAGCAAGACCAATGACAAATCCCCCTTGTCTCTCCACCTTCCTCCTCCTCCTTGACTTCGCCAATCTTATTCTTCTTCCAAAAATAATAATAACAATGAGTGGATGAACCAGAATCAATATCCAAAGTTCCCTCTTACTGCTAGCACAACAACAGGTCCACCATAGCCATGGCTTCCCTCCTTCTTCCTCCTCTCACATGCAAAGGCTATGGCGTACTACTAAGGGCTCTGCCCTCTTGTGCAAAAGACAACACAAAGCAGCTATGTCGCTGCTCATCAGGTCGCCGTGCCTGACTCTGCCTCGAGCTTCCTTGGTGTGGTACTACCCCAACTGGGGCCTTCCAGATGCAGCGCCTAACAAGGTGATGAAGATGGTGTCCACCATAGCCAGGTAGGTACCTCGACACTCTCCTCCTTCCCCATGTTCTTCCTCCTCCTCAGGCTGGGCTGCTCACCATAGCCAGGCTGAGCACCCAGCTGCTCTCCTTCCTCCAGGCAGTGCTCCAGGTCCAGCGCTTGGCTCAAGCACTATGTCGCCAATCCTTGCACACCACAAATGAGAAGAAGCTAATTGCTCCTCCAGAAGATATAGCGGCCTACTTGGCTCTTGGGCGGTGACTTCCTAGGCCCCACGGCCTCCCAGCAACCGGTATCTCCTCCCTTTCGGAGGGAAACATCATTGCAGGCTCTGATATCGTCCGTACAGGTCCTAGACTCAGGCTACTTGGACTGGTACCGGCCTACCTCTAGCCTAACTGATGTATAAGGGAGAAGAGGATAACAAACGGGGGGCTGTGACAAACTGTTTCGTCAGAGTTTCACCGACTCAACTGATTACACTATAACTGATGATCCACCTTATATATCGTATTTTCGTTTGTTGTCCCCTTCTCCCTCTCTGCCTACAGTTTACCGGGCAGCTCTGTTTGACGATATCTATATCGCCAAACAGAACGGCCCTTTAAACCATAGACAGAGAGGGAGAAGATGACAGCAGACAAGGGGCTGTGATAAACTGTTTTGTCGGAGTTTCACTGACTCATCAGGAGGCTGAACCCTCTACAGTATGCAGAGTCCCCTAACTGATTGCACTGTAAGTGATCATCCACCTTAACCCCAATTGTGGTTAAGCATCAACAACTGCCCAACAGCTGATACCTTGAGGTGGGCACCGATCTCTACCCTAAAGCCACCTGTGACGGAAATCAAAGCAGACTATCACTCACACTACGTGGGCATGCTGTGCCTCTAGTGCCAGCGGCGTGTCTGGAGTGTATTTTCTGGCTGTGACAGACCTTTCTTTGTTTCGTGGGTATTTTGCTGGCTTATGATGGGGTGTGAACCGGCAGTCTGTAGAGTTTTCCATCTGGTGTGGGTGTGGGCCAGACCATGAAACCCTGTTCAAAAAGGGGGGAAAAAAGGAAAACTACCTCCTGCTGCTGCTGCTTCTGCTGCTGCTACTGCTCAAAGCTATTCTAAATTACTAATCCCAAAAACAAAAAAACAAAAAAACTGTACTAAATGATTACAATGATTGAACATGGTAAGGGATTCAGCAATCCATGTTACGGTGAAGAGTTGAGGGTTTCTTGCTTTCTTTTTCCTTTTTTTTTTAAGATTTGGACCATTTCTCCATTTATGTGTGTCATCCTTGAGCAGGGGTCATGCTAATCTTCTCTGCATCGTTGTCCCAAAGGACAAGAGTAGAGTGTTTCTTGTTTTCTTTTTTGGCCATAAAAGGGTTCCATTCTATTCTGCGGAGCAACCGTCTGGTTCCTTTTAAACTGGGTAGTCAGAGAACAGAAAGATGAACACTCAACGCTTCCCCTCACTATGGCCAGGGAAATAGTGACAGCATCCATTGTTCACAACAGGGAGGGTTAAACCACCAGTACTTGGCCCATACATCGGCCGCGGGCGTTTCCCGTTAACGCGCTGTGACCGAAGGGTTTCGGCCTACCAGACCACAACAGCTGGATCGCCAGCCAAAAGAGAAACGAAACGACGTGGCGGCGGCTCGGCAAAACTTGGCGCGCAGGGCGTTTCCCGGCTCGGCATGATTAGCTGGGACAAGTACTGGTGGTTTAAGAGTACGCCTTTCCGCTCTCTCACACCCCAAATGGTGAGAGCAGAAATCAAGTACGCTATAAAGCAAGCTGACTTAGCAGACTGGGAGTACAGAGTAGAAAAGAAGGGTTGCACAGCCAAAGCCTTAAAATGGTTTGGTTTGAGATGGGGAGCTTTCCGGATCTTTTTACATTGGATTCTCCTGCAGGACAATCTCCAAGGCTGCTTTTTTCTGCCTTTTTTCTGTGAAGTTTTTGAGTGCTGTTTTTTAGCTACTTTTTGTCAAATACAACAGGATAGTAATAGGATAGGAATAGATTCTACTCACGTTTGCTGCGGGGGAGTTGGAATTTCAGCTACAGACCTTGTTTGTGGGATTACTAGAGTGAATGGCGGTAGGACCAAGTTTAGAATTGGTTCTTTTCTATAATTTGTTGGGCGTTTTTCTCTTAAGTGCTTCAGAGGCTGCGGTTGGAGATGGCCCCAGTCGGAAGTGCCTCGCCCAGCTCCACGTTGCCGTGGCAAAACATGTAAGGGACACCGGACCCGTTTTCCGGCTATTAAAAGAATGGTCATTTCTTGGGGAAAAAAAAAAAAAAGAGAGAGTACTCATTTGCATATTTTCGTTCAGTGTTTCCATTACAGGTAAGAGTGGTCATTGTAGGATCTGCTGATATAGAGAGTGGTTCTGTCACCTGTCATGGTGACTGACCTGAGTATTTCTGCAACAAGGAACCCATTAGCTGCCTCCCTGCAAGATGACCACAGACACAAGCCAGCATAGCATGGGTTCGTTATGGCCCCGTACTGGGTTCTTTATGCATTCTTTATGGGTTAGTTATGGGTTAATTATGGTTTAATTATGGTTGAGCTGGTTATGGGTTAGTTATGGGTTAGTTATGGGTTAGTTATGGGTTAGTTATGGGTTAGTTCACGGACAACTGTTTTTCTGATTTTCTCTGATTGCATTCTGTATATGGGATGCTGGACCCGTTTTCCAGCAGGTGGATGGAGCCTCTCCCCGGGTGGTAGTGGTGTCTGCTCTTATCAGCACCACTAGCACCGGTGGGTTTTAAAAAAAAAAAAAAAAAAAAAAAAAAAAACAAGAATAGTTTGTTTTTTCCATACCCTCCACAAAACCACAAGTATAGGAAAACGGAAGGGTCTGTCCAGTTGATGTAGCTCAGTGGTTAGAGCACCGGTTGGAAATGCGCATTGTGGTATGAGGTTGTGGGTTCAAATCTGCAGCCTTGCGCATGGACACCGGCAGGGAGTTAGAATGATGCACGGCTGGACATACACTATCCTCTGACCACTACACGGTTATGATTACAGACCCTGCCTGTATTGGTCAGGGGATCAAGGTTCAGGTGTTGTACGCTGGTTCTGGGTTCCGCAGGGCTTGCTCGGGGTGTTGGTCTTGGTCTTTCGATTCTCCTTCCTGGTCTGATATACCACACACACGTGCTATTTCCGATTGTTGCTCATATGGTTGAGTCTTCCAGTTACATTTCACAGGTCACTGGTTCGAGCTTGGTCACAGACTTTGGGGGTGTCTGTCCAGTCTGGCCCGTTATACATGGTATTCTCAATACACATATAGTGCTGACATATGGCCGTCGGCCCCATATATGATTCATACTGCTTTCGGGTATACAACTGGCTTCTGGATATATACACATACATCATAAATAGCCTACATCCATGGCTTCCTGAGCACATACATATGGCCTAAGGGCTTACATGCATCTACAGTTGACTGGGGGAGGGGTAGAATAGACTTAGACTCTAGGGTATAGAATACGGTAGTTACCTCAGCAGGTCTGAGTTCCACCTAGCCAAGATAGGGGCAAGCTAGGGGAAGGACGGTAGGACTGTCAGTCTGAGTTCCTCCTGGCCTTGGGTAAGCTAGGGGAAGGACGGTAGGCTGTCTGGCTGGGGTACTGACTGCTAGTTAGCTGTCCCTGAAAATAAAACCCAGGGGTCTATGATCTCTACAATAAGGATACGAGGTTGGTAGAATATAGTGGTGCCTAGCGTCCGAAGTTCCGTACAGCGAGGCCTGTCCGATTTCGCTTCCACTGGGGCAGGGGTAATAGCTAGCCTTGGTGCCTATCACTACTGTCTGGTCCAAGTCACCCACCTAGCGGTTGGGTGATGGTCCTGAGTGGGTTACACTGAGGTAAGATAGTTGGGTTAGGGGGTACGCTGGGAGTATTGATGAGTGGTAGGGTGGGAGGTGACCTCGTATCTTAGGACGGTGAAGGCTCATCACTCCCGGTGATCCCTGTGTGCCTGGTAATTAGCCTCTACAACATCCTGGACGTCTTTGAAAAAATAAAAATAAAAAAATAGAAGGGTCAGCTTCAGGAGTCAATGAGCGGGTATCATGTTGATGTGTTTGAGTTCATTCACAGAGTAGTGCAGCTGGTGGACGTATGCCGAATGAAGTACTGGCCGATTCCCTCTTGGGAGCATTACTGCCCCAAGGCTCAAACTAATCAAATTGAACCCCATGGCAGACTGTTTCCGATAAACTAACCCTCAAAGTGAACAAAATGATGTCGCTACCCCTTTGAAGGAATGAAGTATCCCTGTGCTATTGTGCAGTTGTATAGCTGGATCATCCTGGATGGTATTTCCTGCCATATACCAGAAGTGAGAACAAGAGAAGACTTTTGTTTTTGTTTTTAGGGAAAATTTTCGAAATGCCCCTCAGAAATCCATTTATTTGTGGCATGCCCCTCAACTGCCCGACTTACCCTGTCATGCCCCTCCGCAATGATTCCAGTTTCTGAAAAAAACCCGGCGTCGTTTGGGCCTGAAATATGTTCAAAATGCCCCTACAGGTACCGGTTCCAAGTTTCTAGTATGCCCCTACCGGATAGCCGTTGAGTACAAGGCCAAAACAATTCCATATGGCCCTACCGGTACCTTCCATCTTTCCAGGATGCCCCTGTGCCCGTTGGTGGCAGTGCCGGCTGTTCCCCTGGCCCTGGGAGGACGGTTACCGGGGCATATCTGAAATTTGTCACACAGCTCAACTTTCTGCCGTGCCCTCGATTCGATGGAAACTCTCTCTCTCTCTCTCTCTCTCTCTCTCTCTCTCTCTCTCTCTCTCTCTCTCTCTCTCGCTCTCGCTCTCTCTCTCGCTCGCTCACTCGCTCGCTCTGTGTGTGTGTGTGTGTGATTCATTCGATTTTGCAGGATGAGGCCAACCGCGGGGTTGGAGACTAACCTGTTGGCCGGTGTGTTGCTCATCCTATCGATGGAAAACTCTCTCTCTCTCTCTCTCTCTCTCTCTCTCTCTCTCTCTCTCTCACACACACACACACACAGAGTAGTGTATATTCCGTGTTCTAGCGGAAGATCATTCGATTTAGAACACGGAAATATACACTACTACACGTGTGTGTGTGTGTGTGTGTGTGTGTGTGTGTGTGTGTGTGTGTGTGTGTGTGTGTGTGTGTGAGAGAGAGAGAGAGAGAGA